TCTTTATGATTGTCTGCGTTTTTAATGACTCTGCACGTTCTTTCCGGTTGACTGGTAGAGAATGCCATGCTGGCATTAAGTCCGCCATATGCAATGTAATGGCATTAAAGATTAAATAAATAAACAGGCTAATGATGAAAATGTGCGTAAAAAACCTGAGAAACAAATATTAAATCGCTTTTTTTTAACCTTACATACTTAACGTGTTTTTTTGACGTGACAACGTCTTAAATTAGGTTGCGGCTGGGAGTCACTTATGAAAAAGTGTAACGCTCGGTAACGTTACGATGAGTCTCTCGTGTTAAGTTTAAGTTTACATGTACAATGTTTTAGTAAACAAAATATATTTCTATAGTTAAAATTTGTGCAATTCTTATTTTCATTCAATTCCTTGTTCCTATTGTGCAATTTAATTATATTCATATCAATAAATATTCTACCGAGAAAAAGACGTTGTCACGTAAAATCTTCGCCCGTAAAACCGACTTTACAGGCAACCATTTTTTATATTTTTAATAATTAGTACACGTTATTTGATTGGCCAAAGGTTCGCACCCCGACAACGTTCGCGGCAACAAAGCATCAAAGTACCTGAAGTTCGTTCAACAGTTGCTCACCATCGTGCTGTTCCTGGCCATCTTCGTCAGCCTCATGGCGTCCGTCAGCGGGACTGTCTTTAGGTAACTATCATAGGGAACTTTAACGAGAAATACGAGTACATCGCACGTCACAAACAATAGGGTATTAAGTCGGCAAAACCATTTATTCTTTTTTACTAGCGGGCCGCCCTCACTTCGCTTCGGTGTAGAGCTGAAGTGTAGACTACAGTTTTTGTTACACGATGACATTCATCTATGATTCCTCTTATACCTGCATGCAAAGTCTCAGCCCGATCGGTTTAAAATTGACAAAGTTTCATACAAACTTTCATTCCCTATTTTATCCCCTTGGGGGTAGAATTGATCAAAATCCTTTCTTAGCTGATGCCTACGTCATAACATCTAGCTGCATGCCAAATTTCAGCCCGATCCGTCCAGTGGTTTGGGCTGTGCGTTGATAGATCACTATGTCAGTCAGTCACCTTTGAGTTTTATATATATAGATTTGCGTTTCGAAAACTTCCTTTTTTCTCTCTATAAACTGGTAAGATAATTGTTTTTAAATTATAGCAACACATGTCGTCAATTTCTAGGCAAAATTTATGATTGTGAGTATTCTAAACAGTATTAAGTTAATACCCTATTTCCCGTTCGGATTAATACAAGTTTGAAGTTTTATTTATAATAATACCCTCTGGCCTGTTAAATTTTATTTAATATGTTATTTACAGCGAAATTATTTAAAAATGATACTAGTTGTAATTTTAACACGAACCATTTGAACTGCTTATAGGGTATTCTCTTTACCCAGTCAAACAAAAGTACTTTTAAAATAAAAAATTGTGTGTGTCAGCTCCGACGCACGACTGGAGTTTACTCCTTAAGTTCGATAGTCTAACCAGACGCAAAAAGAGTTTATTTAACTTAAAAAAGATTGATACTGTATGAAAGGGTAACTTAACAAATTATTGAAAATAATATACATATATAAATATATATTTATTCATTTCGTATACATTTATTATAACTAATCGACGAAATATCTTACATTAAACTTTTTACAATAGTCAATTTCAGATGTGCATAAATATATCATTAGCAATGTTGATAAATTATGTAATTATTATTATCTGACTATTCATTATTTTTTTTTTAAATATTAATTAAATCAACATTGTCTGCATTATTAATTACAGTGACAAGTGGTTTATGGTAACTAAAATAAGACACATGGACGTTCGTAAATACGTGGTTCACGAATCTTGAAAATACCGCTTCAATGGTCGTACCATACCTCGTTGTCCCCATTGCTCTATCAGAAACAATATCTAAATTCAGTTGAGATTTTAAAAATTTTATTAATGTCAATCCGTCATCTTTGTTTGTCAAAGTTGCGCGACATAGGATGCGCACCAAAAACGTAACGAGGTCATTCATCGATAGATTTTACTCCTCACATTTTTCTCACACCGGGCCCCTTATATATGCAAATCGATTCTTAAGGAGTAAACTCCAATAGCTACTATTGATACACTAACTAAACTTACTCAACACAAAGAAGGATAATGTACGTTTAAATCAAGGTATCATTTTAAACGTTTGAATAAGTAGTTCCGCTTCTATGATTTTTTAAAACTTCAAAACGAGATATCTCAAAACACTGTTTTTGAAGATAATACCCTTTTGTTTGTGACGTACGACATATACTGCGTGACTCACCTTCAACGATATTAATATAAGATACACCAATACGATCGAAATCGTACCCGAAACCTGTCCACAAGGTACATTGTACGAGCTCCGTAAGATGATCGCGTACTCCAAAAACAATAAAAAACATTGCTTAAACATTGAAAGTCACCTTTAATGCATACTGTATAAGGTCTTGATTAAAACGCATGCGTCAAAGAGTTATGACAGTTCGAAATGTAAGATCGTAAATTTTTACGACTTGTTGCTACATGCGGAAGAATTATAGACTTTATTTCTTTGACTCTACGCGCAATTCGGAATGCGCTGTTAGCAATATAGCAGTACGGACCGCGAGGAAAGGAGACGGCTATATTACCTATCATGCATTTGAATATCACAAATATTTTCTAAATAATCAGTTTATAAGAAGGAAGGAAGAGGATAAGAAGTATTAGAACAAAATTTTCTTCAAATGCGTGGAATTAACAAACATTGATTTAACAACGGTCCGCGCGTGACTGTGAACCAAGAAGTGCTTCAGTTCAGTTCAAAAATTTACTATCTCGAGCTCCTCCGTGCTTCGGAAGGCACGTTAAGCCGTTGGTCCCGGCTGCATTTGCAGTCGTTAGCACCCACCAATCCGCACTGGGCCCGCGTGGTGGGTCATGGCCCAATCTCCCTATTCCATCCATAGGGAAGGCCTGTGCCCCAGCAGTGGGGACATTAATAGGCTGATGATGATTAAAAAGTAATGTTAAGTTATTACTTAATGGGTGTAGTTTATTCCGATAGTTGTACATAGTTTTTTTGTAAACGAAAGAAACACTACCTTTTTGTACCTACCAATAATTTATTGAAAAATAAAAATAACTTCGACATTTAAATCAAATTAACTTACTGTGCTTTTATGCAAATGATAACTCAAATTTTATTTTATTTCTTTGAAATTAACTGACGTGTAAGAACCTGTCTACCTCGCAGAATTGAATCGAATGATTCATTAGTTGAGTTTTTCATTCGAGTTCCCCGTCCTTAGCTGCATGGTTTTGCCTTAGTACAATTTTGTTTATATTCCAAATTCTGACAGTTAAATGCTTGAATTAAATAAAATTCTGATAACAGCAGCCCTTATCACCCAATCATCATCATCAGCCTATTTATGTCCCCACTGCTGGGGCACAGGCCTTCCCTATGGATGGAATAGGGAGATTGGACCATGACCCACCACGCGGGCCCAGTGCGGATTGGTGGGTGCTAACGACTGCAGATGCAGCCGGAACCAACGGCTTAACGTGTCTTCCGAAGCACAGAGGAGCTCGAGATAGTAAATTTTTGGTCACCCATCCAATGACCGACCACTGCGAAAGTTGCTTAACTTCAACGACCGCAGCCGAACGCGCTAACCACTTACGCCATCGAGGTCCTCATTCACCTTCATATCATCCATTAAAACTAAACAATCAATAGGGTTTAAATCTAAAGAAAAGTTTACTAGAAAGAAATCTACGCGGACCAGGCAGCGGACGGGACTCGAACCCACACCCTTCGCAATCCGGGCGAATGCACTGACCGTTATGCTACCATGGCCCTATTGGCCGCGTCGAAATTTTCCTAGCCTTAAGTTTTTACTATTTATACAAAAAAAATATTCATCATTTTACTAAAAACCCACGAAAAAGATAATAATTTTCTTATCTATTGTTACGTGACCCAAAACGCTTCGGATTGGCGGAGCGTAAAATGACGTCACACGCAAGTAAACTTCCGGTTAAAGTGACATTACATTGTATCGTTTGACGTTAATAACAGTCGTGTGACGTCACACACTAGTAAGACTCCATATTGTCCAGAGAAACGTTTTCGGTGCAACCTGAAAATGGAGTTTTTGATTTGATTATTTTTTACTGAAATACACAACAGAATGATGAATATCCACTTTTAACGGACTCCATAAACATTAGTCAATAACGTGAGAACATTTTCTAAAACTTGTCAAATACCCTATTAACATATAGCTCAAAACAAATACAATAAAAATGCTTATATATCTAATATATAAAATTCTCGTGTCGCGGTGTTTGTGGTTCAACTCCTCCGAAACGGCTTTCCCGATTCTCATGAAATTTTGTGTGCATATTGGGTAGGTCTGAGAATCGGACAACATCTATTTTTCATCCCCCTAAATGTTAAGGGTGATCCACCCCTAAATTTTTTTTCTATTTTAGTATTTTTTTTATATTTATTTTTTTTATGATACAGCATTAGTAAATACATATAACCCTAAATATTCACCCTTCTACCACCAACCTCTATTTTTTTATGGCGGTACGAAGTTCGCCGGGTCAGCTAGTATACAGGGTGTTACAGAATTCCGAAATAAAATTTGTAGGTATGTATTCCGAAATAAAAATTTGTAGGTACCAGAGCGGGGCGCAGGGGCGCCCGGGGGAGGGAGGGGTTCTGTTTAGGTAGTAGTAATCGTACGCATTTATAGGGTTGTCATAGGCAGGTGTAAAACGATACTTTTATTAATTTAATTAGAAAATAAAGGTGGTCTGAAAGGCGTCGAACTTTCGTAGGTAATTCTATACAAGGAACACAACCAAACCCTAAAGTTTTATTTGGGACTTTTGTCACACCCTGTATATATATATATATATATAAATGGGGCAGTCATAAATAAGTGATGGTGTGGCACTACATGCGCAGGATCCAGCTCGGCAACCAGGTGGAGGTGGACCCGGAGGACATCTCCGTCACCTTCGATGACGTCAAGGGCGCCGACGAGGCCAAGCAGGAGCTCAAGGATGTCGTGAGTTTATATACGCGACTCTTACATATACAACACTCTCCCATTCGTTTCCATGTCAATAGGGGTGATGACGGGGTACGGTAAACGAAATTCTATTTAGTCCGTCAGTTGGATGATCAAAAAATAATGGACACGTATTTTTTCTTTGGGCAATCAACCAAATAATGACAAAGTTATAGCGCGTCAAAGTTTGGGAGTAGGGGCTCGTGACGTCACTTTTGAGTGAATTGTCACTTATAAGTGTACTCAAACGTGACGTCATGCGACTTTTCAAATCAATATATCTCTGCAATGTTTATATTATGTGAAAAAAGAAAAAAATACGTGTCCAATACTTTTTGATAATCTACCTGATAAACGAAGAAAAAAAAATTAGTCATCATCCCTATTGTATGTTAACGCGGACGAAGTTGCGGGCGGTTGCTAGTATATATATATATATATTATATATATATATACACAGGGCGTCCCACGGCTACCTCACACGGAGGGAAAGTATATTAAATATTGAAGATAGGATATTTCACTGGAAGAAGGCATCGTTTTATTTTTAATATTAATTAGAACTGTATTCACAGTTTTTATTTAAATCGCCTGCTACAACTGGGATTCAAACTTGTGAAATTTCGAAAAAAAAACACGATATATTTTAAGGTAACCATCGAAAGGGTAAATCATAATTATAATTTTTTGCTTAATAACATAGCATCTTAAATAAAAGAAAAGTAATTTAATTCAACATTTTATTTAAAATTATTTAACAAACTAATATAAAATCGGATACGCCTCAATAAGTTAAAATGTTTAGTTCATCATCGTTGACGTTTATCATCCGCTGCTGTGTTTCTGTGAGCACATATTAAAACGACCTAAATTTCTTAAAATATCCACTAACCTTTTAAACACATATCGAGAAGGTACGGTTCTATGAGGGTATCTTTCGCAGTACCATAAATTCCATTAAACACATTTTATTTTGATACGCCATGGTAAGTAAATCAACATAACATAAATTCTCAAGCGTCTGCAATTAAATTTGAAACTAGCAAACCAGTGAACCAAATGTTCACCAAAACCTGATTTCTCGAAAACCGGAAGTGCTACGTTACTCAAATCCGGTTTGTAGTCTTATCAGACTATTCTTCACTTATAACTTAAACATTCTCTTTATCTATCTCTTACGGTTTGGCCGCTGAAACAGTACCACGGACGGACGGACTTGTCTAATAGATAAGAGATTCTATTTCAAATTTAATTGCAGACGCTTGAAAATTTATGTGTTCCATTTTCAAATTATTATTTTTATAAATTTCATCCAATCGCATTGTAATTGTGAGATCAAAAAGAAATGCATACGTACTACAGTTCGTATATCACTTTATTATTTTTATCACGAAATAAGATATTCCTTTTATTTAAAACACTATGCTATTTAGCAAAAAATAATTCTTGCGATTAACCATTTCGATGGTTATCATAAAATATGCTGTGTTTATTTTTGAAGTGAAACTTCTTTATCGGCGTTGGAAAAAAATTTACCGTCACATTTTTCGGTTACGCGTCACATTTTTCCGTTACGCGCCATCTTTTTTTTATATTAATAGTTGATAGCTGAATGATCACACTGTCGCCGGCGAGAACTCTCTCTACTCGTTTGTAGCTGAGTGACAATAGTTATTAAAGATAAGACTCGCTCAGCCAAACTCGCATAGCGATACTCGCTCAGCGATACTCGCTCAGCGATACTCGCTCAGCGATACTAGCTCAGCTATACTCGCTCGGTTAAGCTGGCTTGGCTGTCAAAAGCCGTGCGCGTGCATTTTAACTCAGGACTGCCAATTCGTTTCTAGTTTCTACTCGCTTATCGTTCATCGTCGGAGGTGGAACATGTGCCTTAGATTACTGAGCCGTGTAATCATAACAGTTTCATAGGCAGTAATTTGTATTCATGTCTATGATAATAAAATCCTTTTGTTTAAACTTTATCTAATTTAACTTTATTTAACCAATTTCTGGAAAGTTGCATGTAGATCATTTTTCGAAAAATAAGGCCATAAAGAAGTTTCACTTCTTACGTGTGTACACTAGTACACGCACACATTTTTTTTTCCAAATTTCACGAGTTTGATTTCCAGCCGTAGCAGGCGAAATTGAAAAAAAATTGTGGATGCAGTTTTAGTTATTATTAAAAATAAAACGATGTCTTCTTTTAGTAAAATATCTTATCTTCAATATTTTAATACTTATAATTTTTATTATTTTTAAAGCATGTAACTGCTTGATGTTTAAATCTAAAGAAAATATAACTAGAAAAAATTCCACGCGGACCAGGCAGCAGACGGGACTCGAACCCGCACCCTTCGCAATCCGGGCGAATGCACTGACCAATTATGCTACCGCGGCCCTCACGGACCGCGTCGAAATTCCCTCTAGCTATTCTTAAGCTGCAAGGCAGCGCCATCTCTTCGCATTATAGGTAAACCCACAATGTCAAATGAATACTTTTACAAGTATTAAACATTTGAAAGAAGAAATAGCAATTATAGTTATAATTTTTATTATTTTTAAAGCATGTAACTGCTTGATGTTTAAATCTAAAGAAAATATATATTTATTATATTTTAATACTTTCTTTTTTTTTTAAAAAATAAAAACATAACTTTATTATGTTTATTATTGCCGAATGCACTGACCAATTATGCTACCACTTCCCTGATGGCCGCGGCGAAATTTTCTTAGTCTTAAGCTGCAAGGCAGTGCCAGTGCATTCGCCCGGATTGCGAAGGGGGCGGGTTCGAGTCCCGTCCGCTGCCCGGTTCGCGTGGATTATTTCTAGTAAAACTTCTCTTTAGATTTAAACATCTAGCAGTTATGTGCTTAAAAAAAAAAAAAAATCATAACTATAATCGCCATTTCTTCTTTCAAATATTTAATACTTGAAAAAGTATTCATCTGACATTGTGGGTTACCTACAATGCGAAGAGATGGCGCTGCCTCGCAGCTTAAGGCTAGGAAAATTTCGACGCGGCTAATGGGGCCGTGGTAGCATAACGGTCAGTGCATTCGTCCGGATTGCGGGTGCGGGTTCGAGTCCCGCTCGTTGCCTGGTCCGCGTGGATTTTTTCTAGTAAAACTTTTCTTCAGATTTAAATATGTAGCAGTTAAATGTTTTAAAAAAAATAAAAACATAACATCATTATGTTTATTGTTCGGCCAAACCTCTTTTATAACTTTTTAATATTAACACCTTGGCACCTTTTTGACGCGTTTTTAAATTTATATTTTTTATACGTCAGTCTGTAGGCCTGTTTGACACTCCTCTCCACTCACTCGCGTCTCCATATGGCTCGTGTGTTTATTTTATAACTCTCCTATCTTAATATATATAAATCTCGCGTCACAATGTTCGTCCTCAACGGACTCCTAAACCACCGAACCGATTATAATAAAATTCGCACACCATGTGCAGTTCGATCCAACTCGAGAGATAGGATAGTTTAAATCTCAAATCATAGTCGCAATTTGAATTTATTGCAAATTATCACTTTCGGGCGGTACGAAGTTCGCCGAGTCGGCTAGTATTATATAAAATATCTCGTAGCTCGTCCACCGTGTGTGTTTTCATTTCTCTTCCAAGTATAATATTTATTATCGTGCGCGTTGACCGTAGGTGGAATTCCTGAAGTCCCCGGAGAAGTTCTCGAAGCTGGGCGGGAAGTTGCCCAAGGGGGTCCTGCTGGTGGGCCCGCCGGGCACCGGCAAGACGTTACTAGCGCGTGCCGTGGCCGGGGAGGCGAGGGTGCCCTTCTTCCACGCCGCCGGACCAGAGTTCGACGAGATACTCGTGGGGCAGGGGGCCAGGAGAGTCAGGGATCTGTTTAGTGAGTTTTGAATTTTTTCGAAGTTATATTTCTTTAGGCGCGTTATGAATAAATGATGACAGTGAAATGAATGCGTTATGAATAAAATTAAGTGGATGCTAACGACTGCATTGTGAAGGCCTATCAAAAGTATTTATTGATCTGGAACAACGGAACCGAAGCGCGATTCAGGAGACTACAGCGCCATCTCTTGACCATTGGTGTAGTAGAACCAAAAAGCACATCTTTATTTTTTGTAATAAAGTAACAGTTATAGGTATTCATATTTATAATATTTATCGACATGTTTCTAGTTTGTATATTCGGAATACGTGTTTGAGTTTCATACAAGTGCAAATCACATATTTTCTAATAAATTATATTCAGTAGCGATTTTAATTGAATATTTTGATTATTTATTTATTTTTTCAAATTAAAACTGAACTTTATTGACTGTATCCTTTTCCAGACTTTTTATTAATTCATTGTAATTAATTATTTGCATCCAATTAAAAACTAATTTTAAACGATGCCAAAGAAGGATAACTTCTCACGCAACTACATAAGTACACGCACCCATTTTTTGAAGTTATACTTCTTTAGCCGCGTTATGAAAAAATTATGAGAGTGAAATTTTCGTCACTGTAACACAAAATTTTAACATAATGAAGTTAGCCGCGGGCGCGTTATTTGTAATATTTTATTTTCCAAGTGACCGTGGGGCAGATTTGAACAACGCAAACAGGGCAGATTTGAACGGGACATTGAAATGAAATGAAATGAAATGACATTTATTCAGTCTAGGCTGTTACAAGCACTTGTGAAGGTCAAGAACACAACGTGTTTTAGTTACTTACAAGTGCTAATTACATATGGACTAAGAACTTAAATTCAGTAGTGATTTTAATTGAATATTTTGAATATTTATTTAATTTTTCAAATTAAAACTGAACTTAATTGACTGTGTTAACTATCCTTTTCCAGTCCTCTTATTGTTTTATTGTAATTATTAATTATTTGCATGCAATTAAAAAATATTTTAATGATGCTAAAGAAGTATAACTTCTCACGCGCGTACATAAGTTACACGCATCCATTTTTTTTTAAGTTCTCCCTTTTTAGGGAAGGCAAGGGGAACGATGTCCATACAGCCTAGTCTTAAGTTAAATTATTCTGTTTTTCTTTTTACATTAGAATGTGGGTGTGACGCATTATAATGTTTCTAAGAGTGTTTGGCACTAAATGCATCGAGTCAGCTTTCTCGATAAGCTTCTGTGAGGTAGTCAACACTACAATGAAGTTCTCGCGTCCGTCCGTTGACCGTCCGTTGACCGGAATAGCGAATATTTTAGAGATACCACTAATTCTTCAGTTGTGCAAACGGTTGTAACACAAAATCACCAATTTTATTTCGTAATTACCACTATGAACGAATTTAAGAATAATTAAAATAAGACGGCAACCATACTCGATGAAATGCCGCCAAAAACTCTTATATTTTTTTTTTATATTTATGACATTTCGGACTCGCAAACGATACGAATTCGATATTGGTTCGTGCTAAGGGTACTGTATTTAGAAATGAATATTGGTAGGGGTTTTTAAAACATTCACAACTTTACTAAAAAATCACTAAAAAGATAATAGATATCTTATCTATTGTCATGTTGTAGCAATTTTTGCTACCACCGACCACTCAGGGCTTCGCATGAGACTCAAAAGACTTAGCCAGGGCGCCTTCTACTGTATTTATGTGGGATGTTAAATAAAATGTATGAAACCAGCAAATATGATCCCTTTATTTTTTAATCAATATTAAATGACTAACATACAGACAATATTAGTAATTTTCAGATTTTTATACATATGATTACAATATCTTACTATATTTAAGAACAATACTTAGCCTTTGCTATTACTTTATTTCAGAGATATATATATATATATATATATATATATTATACAAACAACTGCTTAGGTACTTTAAACAATGCAATTTCTTTCTTACGAGAATAATTCAATCAATCTTTTAAAACAATGCTAATAAATATTAAAGGTTTTGCTTTAAGGAAATTATACAAGTTATATTTTGAATTAAAGATTAAAGATCCTGCAGTTCAGGGGATGCACTGGTTAAAATCAAGATAAAAAATTATGAACAACTTAGCTTAAAAACTCCGGGAACATCTAGTGACTTTGTTGTTATTTTTCCCAATGAATATGCTGTCATCAGTATCCCATGGATGGGTCGCATGTCATACATCAAGCTTCACAATATACAGAGTTTAATCCACTTAATATTTCCAAAGAAATTCCCGACTGGACAAAATTAATGAGTTTTGTCTAGGAATTGTAATAGCTTCCTCAAAGGACCTAGAAATAACCACACACAATACCTTAGAATAAAACTATATGCCTACAGAGCCCTACGACCAACAAAATTAAATATATGGAACTTACCCGTTAATCCGGGGTGAGATATCTTATCTATACTTATAATAAATCTGTAGAGATGTCAATTCTGTACATGAAATATATTTTTAAAATAACTATCAGGGGGTGATTAGTGATCGATACTGATGCCAAAAATGCAATCAGTAAAATTTTTGTCTGTCTGTCTGTCTGTCTGTCTGTGTGTATGTTCCTTATAGAAACAAAAACGACTCAACGGATTTTAACGAAACTTGGTACAATTATTCTTCATACTCCTGGGCAGGTTATAGTATACTTTTCATCACGCTACAATCAATAGGAGCAGAGTAGTGAAGGGAAATGTTGGGAAAACGGGAGAAGTTACTCCATTTTTAAGCTTCCGTCGCGGGTGCAGCCTTAATGATTAAATTTACATAGAAATCATGTATGACGGAAATATTCTACATAAAATTGTATAAAAAATATCCCGCAACAGCATATGTCTATCTTTTATATAATAACACGTGTAATCTATACTTATAATAAATCTGTAGAGGGGTCAATTCTGTACATGAAATATATTTTCAAAATAACTATCCGGGGGTGATTAGTGATCAATACTGATGCCAAAAATGCAATCAGTAAAATTTTTGTCTGTCTGTCTGTCTGTGTGTATGTTCCTTATAGAAACAAAAACTACTCGACGGATTTTAACGAAACTTGGTACAATTATTCTTCATACTCCTGGGCAGGTTATAGTATACTTTTCATCACGCTACAATCAATAGGAGCAGAGTAATGAAGGGAAATGTTGGGAAAACGGGAGAAGTTACTCCATTTTTTAAGCTTCCGTCGCGTGCGCAGCCTTAATGGTTAAAGTTACATAGAAATTATGTATGACGGAAATATTCTACATAAAATTTTCTAAAAAATATCCCGCAACAGCATATGTCTATCTTTTATGGTTGACTTACAATAACACGTGTAACTCCTGATAGCTTAGCAGTTCGGAGCATTCTGATTATATTTGTTTACTCTTACGTTTATAATACTCTCACTCATCCCTAATTTAAAAAAGTTAACATTATTACCTATTCAATAAAAAAAGAATCATAGAAATCGGTATAGAAACACTAAACTTATACATGAAATAAGCCATCGCGCCGCCCGTCGCACGTGAATACTGAATCATGCTATAAGGATTTATTTTTGTGTAACCATCATCATCATCAGCCTTATTATTGTCCCCACTGCTGGGGCACAGGCCTTCTCTATGGATGGAATAGAGAGATTGGGCCATGACCCACCACGCGGGCCCAGTGCGGATTGGTGGGTATTTTTTTTTGAAGTTATACTTCTTTAGGCGCGTTATGAAAAAATGATGAGAGTGAAATTTTAAGATGCGCGCGCATCACTGTAACACAAAAAATTAACAGCATGAAGTTGGTCGCTAAAGCGACCAACTTCATGCGTTACTTTTGTGTTTACTGCACATTAACAAAATCTACCAACAAAATAGAAATAGAATCTCTATTTAGTGGGTGCTAACGACTGCATTGTGAAGGCCTATCAAAAGTATTTATTAATCTGGAACAACGGAACCAAAGCGCGATTCAGGAGACTACAGCGCCATCTCTTGACCATTGGTGTAGTAGAACCAAAAACCACATCTTTATTTTTTGTAATAAAGTAACAGTTATAGGTATTCATATTTATAATATTTATCCACATGTTTCTAGTTTGTATATTCGGAATACGTGTTTGAGTTTCATACAAGTGCAAATCACATATTTTCTAATAAATTATATACAGTAGCGATTTTAATTGAATATTTCGATCATTTATTTATTTTTTCAAATTAAAACTGAACTTTATTGACTGTGTCCTTTTCCAGACTTTTTATTAATTTATTGTAATTAATTATTTGCATGCAATTAAAAACTAATTTTAAACGATGCCAAAGAAGGATAACTTCTCACGCGCCTACATAAGTACACGCACCCATTTTTTTTTTTTTTTTTTATTTTTGTGTAACGGATAAGACAAAATGATCGACCAATGGGCGGTATCACAGTTTTATTTTGTGGTGATTTCCGACAAACCTTACCGGTAATAGCACGGGGAACCCGAGCTGATGAGGTTAGGGCTTGCCTGAAAAGCTCTTATTTGTGGCGTGATATACAATCGGTGCATTTGACTATAAACATGCGAGTGAGAACTGGAGATAACCCGGATGATCGTGAATTTTCTGATATATTATTAAGGATTGGTGAAGGTACCTATCCACTGCTACACCAAGGAAAACTTATTCTGACGCCTGAATTATGTTGTATAGTGCAATCCCAACAACATCTCATATCGTCAGTTTACGGTGACGTAACAAATATCTATATATATAAAACTCAAAGGTGACTGACTGCCATAGTGATCTATCAACGCACAGCCCAAACCACTGGACAGATCGGGCTGAAATTTGGCATGCAGGTAGATGTTATGACGTAGGCATCCGCTAAGAAAGAATTTTGATCAATTCCACCCCCAAGAGGATAAAATAGGGAATGAAAGTTTGTATGAAATTTTAAACCGATCGGGCTGACACTTTGCATGCAGGTATAAGAAGAATCATAGATGAATGTCATTGTGTATAATACAAGCCTGAGAACAAAAACTGTAGTCTACACTTCAGCTCTACACCGAAGCGTAGCGAGGGCGGGCCACTAGTTATATAAATAAAGTCATTCTTTATAGCACAAGCCTGAGAACAAAAACTATAGTTTACACTACAGCTCTACACCGAAGCGAAGCGAGGCACTGTGGAATATTTCGGTGTGTTTCGGATTAAAAATCTGTAACTCCGTCAATTTGAAAGATAAACTTATAAAATTTTGCTATAATATAAAGTGATACATAAGGATTCATATAAGTAATGTTTGATGAATTGGAATTATGCGTATTTTTTTAATTAAAAAAGAAAAGTCACAAAATGATTTAAAATAGTATTATTAGTATTATTTATTTATTGAAATATTTTTTAGAAACATATTGTACGTCTATTTCTTAATGCTAATTACTCTTTTAAGATAACTATCATATTATATTGATAATATAAAATAAAAATGGTAAAATATTTTTAACACTACGCTAACATACAGAAACAAATCAAAATTATCGCAATGTATATTTCTTTTTTTTGCTCAGCAAGATTGACATCTTACACCGGTGAGCTTCAGGATCTGAAATAAGTTCATAAACCTTGAGAAGGTGTAAAGTAGATACTTTATCGCTCGGAGCTCGATGAAGATTCATCGAGCTCACGCCTTCTATATTAATTATTGATGGAAGCAAAGTTTGTATTTGATTTTTTATTTCATCTACAACCGATTTAGTTTTTTCTGGCGTTTCTTTGCAAAATTCTATAGATACAGGCCGACAGAAACGAACATATGAAGGCACTGGATTTTGCCATGTGATGGCGCCTGATTCCACGTCAGTTAATCTGATAGGCACAAAAGAAGTAATAAATAAATTTGCATCGGAAATAAGTTCAGACTCCTCTGGTAGTGCTTGCTTGTACTGGCTTTGTCCAGATGACCCATCACAACCCCATTTGCTATACAATAGTAAATGTTTTTGTCCATTCTTGTAAACCTTATCTATTGATAAAATTCGAGCTGCAGTGTGATCCAATAGATCTTGAACTCTCAATATTTTTGCATAAGTATTTGTTATTTCGATTGTTGATGATGGTGGATAGCACCTCTGTTTCATTTCCTGTATTTTATATATAGTATGGTGGAAATAAAGAACAGTTTCTTTCATCTGTAACGTTCCTGAGATACAGATATTGTGCCTTTGTTAGTTCCAAGTCGATGAAGACACTTAATGCTTCTTCATCTGTAAGCCCTTTAATTATTTTTGCATCATCTAATTGATTTATAACGAAAACCTTTTTCTCTGCATCAGCCAACCTTAATTTTCCAACAACTTTTGCTTCAATTCCTTCTCCTATAGAACGCAATCCTTGAAGACATGCGCTTAGAATGTGCTCCAAACCATATTCATTTAGCAAAATGGTGTTTTTTCTTTTTTTGCTTGATTCTGAAGAGTCTCCATATGACACACACGGTCTTCCTCGTTTACCAGAAGAAGTAGACGGTGTAGAGTCCTTTGACACGTTTTCTGATATTGGTATAGTTAACGAATATTCAGAATCCAACCAATTGGTGTTCTTTCTTAAAAAGGTATTTTTATTGCGTCCTGCTTCACTCCAGCGTTTATTAAACGAAGGGATGACATCCCTTTGAATATGGTCAATAATAAAACATATATTGACATCCGAAATTTGTTTTCCCTCCAAATATGTTGAAAGTGCCGCAGTCGTTTTTCCGCCTTCTATATAAGACACTATTAACTCACGTTTAGTACAGTTAAAAGTAGACATGTTGAATAATGAAATAACCGTACCTACTAGAGTACGTAGACGTAAAGACCACTGAAACGGTAATGGAGACATATTTTTTCACTGCCCTTTTTATATTGTTTCAGAATGTGGGAATTATTTCAGATATCTATTTTGTGACGGAAAATGACATCGAAATGATAAAACCTACATAACAATATCAAATAATTAATTCATAAAATGTACCACAAACTATTGATAATAAAAGTAAACTACGAAACCGCATTTGATAGCGATTTCCGTTCCCAGACTAGTATTCGATTTTTTCACATATCTCCGAAAACCGCAAAAAGCCGCAGCTAATTTTTTTATATGTTTTAGATGAGTAACTAACCTATAATTTAACATTAAATTCAAAGCATCGGTAAACAACTCTAAATGTTAAAAGATTCGACGAAGTTGAGGATAAAAAAATATTTCTCCATTTTTTCTTTAAATTGGTTTTTAAATTTATATTCGTATTAAAAACAATCAATTGTATTTATTTCTAACCTCAGATAAATGTGCTTTTCAAAAATATATAATACCTTATACCTTTCATTTCAAGTTTTAAAACTATTTCACGTTGAAAAACGTATATGAAGAACTTAATATTTCCCAGCTGCCTAAACGTTTAACTTTGCTACATGAAAAAAAATACTTTTACGAAATAAAATATGAATTACGCTGCAGAATATTAAACTTCGACTTTTGAACTATTAAATTATATTCATATATTACCCAATTTCAATCATTAATAAAAATCAATTTTGATATGCGTTTGTTCTACCATATTCCACCGTGCGAGGGCGGGCCACTAGTTATCAATATTAGTCTTGTATGATTATTTACACACTGACTACGGCTTTTTTAAAGGTCACAGTGCGACTACCTTGATGTACCAAAATGCAAATATAAAGAGGTGGATTGTTCCTGCGTGAGGCTATTTATATCACTGATCGCCGAGAACGTTCTATGCAAGAGGATCTCTCTTATTACCAAATAAGGAGATACTATTGAGACGGAAGTGGTTTAAGAAACCACGCCTATCGCAATTACTTCTAGAAAATATTAATACGCCGAAGTATTATAACGTAAATCGCACACCACTCGCCAACTCCATCTATCCTACATTCTAAGAACTATTGCCAGATTCTATCGACAAGCAAATGTCCTGCTTTGTTTTGAGTACTACTGCGTTCGGTAATTCATGGGAGTGACGATAGATGGCACTCTTTCGGAAAGAAGAATATTTTTAATTAAATTATTTACTTAAGGAAAAAATTATGTTACAATGTGACCAAAAACGCTTGGAATAGGCGGAGCCTAAAATGACGTCACACGCTATTAAACTTCTGGTTAAAGTGACATTGCATTGTATCGTTTGACGTTTTAATGGGTCGAGTGACGTCACATACCGGTGAGACGCCATATTGTCCAAAGCATCGTTTTCGCGGCAACTTTAAAACGGAGTTTTTGATTTAGTTATACACAACAGAATGACAAATATCATAATAAACATTCGTAAATAATGTGATATCGATTTCTTAAACTTGTTTTTTTTTTAGTTCTATTCTTCCGTATTGAGAAAGGCAAAGGCGAAGCCATGCAGCCATCGCTTAATTTAGTATTAATCTTCCTTTTTTATATTAGAATGTAGGCATGACGCATTCTAATGTTTCTAGGAGTGTTTGGCACAAATCTATCGAGTCAGCTTTCTCGGCAAGCTTCTGTGAAGTAGTCAACACTACAATAAAGTTCTCACGTCCACTTGACCGGAATAGACAGATTCCACTAATTCTTCAGTTGTGCAGACGGTTGTAACACAAAATCACACCGATTTTATTTCACAATATCCACTATGAATGAATTAGAGAATAATTAAAATAAGACGCCAACCGCACTCGATGAAATCCCGCCAAAAAACTATAAACTTATCAAATATCCTATTGTAAAAAGAAACATTTCAGTACGAAATTAGCTATCAGCTGATCAAGTTTGAACAGTTTTCACAATTAAAAATTTTTACGATATTAAATAATAAAACATTTTTTTTTAATTTTCTTAAAAATTATCTTCGGTTCATAGAAGCGGCGAAGGAACGCGCCCCCTGCGTCATATTCATAGACGAGATAGACTCCGTAGGAGCGAAGAGGACGAACAGCGTTTTACATCCGTACGCTAACCAGGTATGTATTACTATAACCATAAAGACTCATATTTTATTATGTATATACAGTCGTTGTTTCGTTGTTAATGCGTAGTTATTTAATAAAGCGCAGTTGTTTTGTACAATGCGTATATTATGTAGAAATTACAAAAAATAAAATATATCAGACGAAAAATTGCTTGTTAACGTTAAGCGTACAAAATTTGAATTTTTGCGTAGAGAGAAGTATATGGGGGGGGGGGGGGGTTCATCACGTGGGTCACAGCTGCTCTTACTGGTAGAAAGATGATGCGACGTTCCGGTGCAGGCAGAATTTCTTATCGTCTTGCCTGAACAGTCGTAACAATTTGGTTTACAATGTCAAATGAATCCTTTTACAAGTATTAAACATCAAGCAGTTACATGCTTAAAAATAATAAAAATTATAACTATAATTGCTATTTCTTCTTTCAAATGTTTAATACTGGGTTGTGGGTTACCTATAATGCGAGAGGATGGCGCTGCCTTGCAGCTTAAGAATGGCTAGAAGAGTTTCGACGCGGTCCGTGAGGGCCGCGGTAGCATAATTGGTCAGTGCATCCGCCCGGATTGCGAAGGGTGCGGGTTCGAGTCCCGTCTGCTGCCTGGTCCGCGTGGATTTTTTTCTAATATCTATAATGTTAGTGACCATGAAAGTTTAAAACAATATATCACAATATTTGTGTTCATTCAAAACAGACAATAAACCAACTCCTGTCCGAGATGGACGGGTTCCATCAGAACGAGGGGGTGATCGTATTAGGGGCCACTAACAGGAGGGAAGACCTTGATCAAGCGCTCCTGAGACCCGGCAGATTTGATGTGGAGGTGAGTCGATAAATGTGACAGTGTGTCTGTCTGTATGTCTTGTGTTTTACCACTACACACTTAAGGGGTTACACGCAATGAGGGCTATCGCGTATGAATCCGCCGCTAGAGGCGCTAGTGTAGCGGGAGGTCTCCGAAATGTCAAATGTTATTGCTTGTTGGTTGACTACGCGGGTTTATTTCTAATTAAAATAATGTTGTGAATAATTGGTAACAATTCGGCTTAATTGTGGCAAATATGAGTTATGTGGCAATGAATGTCAGTTATTAAAAATTTGAGCTTAGAAAAATGATTATGTACCCATTTTTTCCGAATAAAACGGAACTGGGCGTCACTGTGGCATGGCCTATTATGTTTAGGATATGGTTCTTTTGTGTTAAAATACGATCTAAATGTAACCTTTGATTTCATGTGCGTATTAATAAACTTTAAAAGTTAGGACCTCACTCAACAGTGGCGCCATCTGGTGAGACAGAAAACGGTAGCCCTCATTGCAAGGCCAAAAAAGGCTTTTCTTTTGGTTTTTTTTCTGAAGAGTGGTGAGCAACATATCTCTCCGGTTTGGTTTATCTGAAATTAAAAAAAAACATTTGATTCTATTGCTGGATGAATAAATCTAGGTATTGATCGAAGGTATAGAGACAAAATTTCTACTTATGACAAAACGGTAGCTCAGTAAAGAAAAAAAAATCCAATTTTCGACCAAATTGGTTTCAGTGAATTGTTTTTAAAAAAAGAAATAATTATCATATGTCTTATTTCTTCAATCAATCCCAGAAGAATATATCTGAGAAGGTTGTGTTAAAATTTCAGACCGATCGGTTGAGCCATTTTTGACAAATTGTGCTCACAAACCTTGAAAATACCATTTTGAGAAAAACGCATTCAAAGTTTCAAACAATGTTTACAAATACTTACATTGGTAGTTCCAAATATGCGTGTATCTCCAAGATTAATTTGAAAATTTCAGAGAATATATTCAAATATATGTACATTCCGAAAATGCATTTTTTTTACTGCATATAACCCCTTAAATTGCTGAAGCGACTTAGATGTAATTATGCTTGAGTCCTAGGAAAGGTGTGGACAGGTTTTATACCAGAAATTTTCTTTTAAAAGGTCAAAACAAAACGCTTATATTGCTAAAGCAACTAAGATGGTATTTTGTTAAAGAAATAGTTTGATTCACGAAAAAGGATTGAACAGTTTTTATCCCAGAAATCATTCTTTAACGTGGTGAAAAGAGGGGTTGAATTTGTGTTATGGGAAACCAATTTTTTCACGCCAACAGAGTCGCGGAGACTTGTTTATCTTCTAATATATAAAACTAGCAAACCAGAGAACCAAATGTTCACCAATTAAAAAAAAAATGTATTTAATTAATTGAGAACTTCAGAGATTTTGTGTGGTTTCGTTTGAAATTCGTGATTTCTCGAAAACCGGAAGTGCTACGTTACTCAAATCCGGTTTGTAGTCTTATCAGACTATTCTTAACTTATAACTTAAACATTCTCTTTATCTATCTCTTACGGTTTGGCCGCTGAAACAGCACCACGGACGGACGGACGGACTTGTCTAATAGATAAGAGATTCTCGTGTCGCGGTGTTTGGGGTTCAACTCCTCCGAAAGGGCTTTCCCGATTCTCATGAAATTTTGTGTGCATATTGGGTAGGTCTGAGAATCGGACAACATCTATTTTTCATCCCCCTAAATGTTAAGGGTAATCCACCCCTAAATTTTTTTTTTCAATTAGAGATATTTTTTTTTTAATTTTTTATGATACATCATACAGAAATACATACAACCCTAAATTTTCACTCTTTACTACCAACCCCTATTTTTTTATGGCGGTACAAAGTTCGCTGGGTCAGCTAGTAATTTTATAAGAATTCCTTTCAATATGTATGTCTTTTTGTCCCTTTCAATGCATATTTTGATAATACATAGCAGCTCGATGGCGCAGGTGGTTAGCGCATTCGGCTGCTATCGTTGAAGTGAAGCAACTTTCGCAGTGGTCGGTCATTGGATGGGTGACCAAGAATCTTTTATCTCGGATTCCTCCGTGTTTCGGAAGGCACGTTAAGTCGTTGGTTCCGGCTGCGTCTAGTTGTAGTTGTTAGCACCCACCGATCCGCACTGGGCCCGCGTGGTGGGTCACGGCTAGGGTTACCATCCGTCGGGATTAGTCCGGAAAAAGTCCGGACTTTTTAAATTACATTGAATATGAATAATAAAAGTACATATCGACTTAAATACCATACCATTGTAACTTAAGTGAGAAATGGTTCAATCGAAATGTCAGGATTTTTGTCAGGACTTCTGAAATTCCGAAACGGTAACCCTAGTCACGGCCCAATCTTCAAATTTCATCCATAGGGTAGGCCTGTGCCCCAGCAGGGGGGACATTAATAGGTTGATATGAATGCATATTTTATACGTTTATCTTTATCAGGTAAACGTCCCGACGCCAGATTTCGGAGGTCGTCGTGAAATCTTACAGCTCTACCTCGCCCGGGTGGCGGCTAACCCCGGCCTCGATGTGGATATGCTGGCCCGGGGGACCACCGGCTTCACCGGGGCGGACCTGGAGAGTATGGTCAACCAGGCGGCCTTGAAGTGAGTCAATATAGCGTCAATACTGTGCCAATATCGCATCAATACTATGTGAAAATATCGTTCAATGCCACGTAAATATTTATCATGTTTATGCGATATTATTTTTATTTTTATGAAGCGAACGGCTAGGGAGTGAAACTCCTTGCCGAGATCTTTTTCCCGGACCGATATAACCTGGACATCTTCAAGGCCAGAGTGAACAGGCATCTTCTAGGCAGGCGTGTACCATCTTAGGCCTCCTACGCCTAGCCTTTTCAGCATAAAAAAACAATGTTCAAGAGATTGGGAATACTGTATTTCAATGTCGTCTTATTTCTCAGTTATTTACTCGTCAATCAATATGTTGTCAATATTGCATAAATGTCGTTTCAGTATGAAGGGGATTTATTATAATGTTACAATGTCAGATTAATATTGTATCAATATTGCGTCAATATGACATCAATTCTGTATCAATATTGTGTCGATACTTACGCGACACCGATTACTGACCCTATCACCTTCCTTTGCCGCTTTTGAATCTCCCCAATTTTCTCTAGATGCTTTTTACGGGGGCATGCCACTCTGTAGGCTTACTTTTAGTCTCGGAAAAGGACATAGGGTAGTTTTTATCCTATAAATTGTAACCTATAAGAGCTACAAAGGGGGTGAAAGTGTGTTTAGGCAACCAAATTTTCCACGCAGACAGAGTCACGGTCGTCCACTAGTTTGCTATAGTTGTCAATTCTAGCATGATTCTCTAAACCTAAACTTTAATTTAACAACCAACCTTGTCATTCTCTATACAGAATGAAAAGGAAAGACTGATGTTAAAGGATAGTGGTGTAGGAAGGCCAAAGGGGAAGATCTTCCTCCGAGCTGGGTGATGTTAGCTCGGGGGCCGCAGCGCGACTGATATCGGTCGGGCATCGTATATATGAAGAGTTAGCTTCCGAATTTCATTTGCGCGATGTAGGCTTCCTTACTATTATTGATCGCAGTGCAGGTAAAGCCATCTCTTGAGGATGGTGAGTAATGATTTCCTCCATCCGTTGTCTATATGTGGGGCATATAGATGTCGCCGCCACAGTGGCAAACAAATGTATGGAGTCTGGGCTAGGGATGCAAAGTCTTTTGAAATATCGATATTTATATCGAAGTCAGGCAAATATCGATATCCGATATATCGACCATTTTAACTCGATATTATCGATATATCGATATTTTTTTCTTTTTTTTGCTTTATATTAAGTTTGCAAAGCAAAAACCTAAAATTAAGGATGCAAAGGTTTCCGAAATATCGATATTTATAATGTGGGCAGGTAAATATCGATATCCGATCAGATGTGTCAGCCATTCCAACATTTCCAACACGATATTTTCTATATTTTTTTATAGCGCTGTAAGAAGTATCAAATCAAAAGCAATTTCGAATCAAAGATATTTATTTTGTTTGAAATATTTGCTCGCAGCCAAAATCAGAATAGATAATCATATGAAAAACAATTGTTATGAATTAGTAAAACCTACACATCAGGCTTCAGAATAGGGTAAGCCCAAAGCTTCCAAAATTACTATACCTATCTTACTTTCTTGACTTGGCGAGCTTAAAAAATTTACGATTTGTATAAGATTCTTAATTTTATTTTGTGTTATATTACAATGATATTAAATTTCAATTAATCAGTAGTTGACAATTATCTAGAAAAAGAGGCAAGGATTTTATTTAAGTGCATGAGTTACCATTAGGTATACGATTATACCTATATACGCTGGTGTCGATTCTGGCATGATTATCTAAATTTAAAACTAAATTTAACATCAGTCTCCTTTTCATTCTGTATAGAGAATGACAAGGATACACTGTTGTCAAATTCAATTTTAGGTTTAGAGAAACATGCCAGAGTCCACACCAGTTTAGTATATTTCTTGGGGTTCGAGATGTTTTTAATACATCTATAAGCTCTTGCAATTTCAATATTATTCAATTTAGACAGTCGTAGCAGGTAAATTAATTGATATTATTGTGTTCAAATTAAGTCTACGAAATATCGATATTTTGGAATTTCCGATATCGATATTATCGATATCAGTGAATTTTAAATATCGATATAAATATCGATATTTTGGTCTCGATATTATCGATAATATCGATATTCCGATATATCGTTGCAACCCTAGTCTGGGCCCACCCCTCAATAGTAATATGTGATATACCGTTGGTTAGGGCTTTTTAAGCGGAACATTAGTTACTAACAAACCTTTGGTCAAATGTTAGTACTTTCAGAGATACGATGTCCTAAAGTCGGCTCTGCCTAACATATTCTTTATGCATATTTCTAAAGTAGATTAGTAATTGTTAACGTGTTTCACTTTAAAACCAAAAATGTCTATTATTCGTCTTGAGAATCAATT